CCCCCTATAATGTTTGTGTATGTATGGTCGGGTTGATGGCCTGCTTTTCGCTGGTACTTGTGACTAGTGACATGGTGAATTGCAACAGCAATAAAGGAAATCAATCAAAATAGAATGAAGCCTTGCATCAATTAGAAATACCGTGAGAATGGACAAATGGCAAATGCTCTATTGTGCATATCCAAGAAAAGAAAATGATTTCTTGTAATTCGTAGTTTATCTAAGAACAGGAGAATCTTTTCATTTCCTTAGGGAACAGTGATATTGTATGAATTCCTACTTTTAGCACAGGGCAGATTATATCGGTATCTCATTGGTTCACCTCGTTTTAACAGAATTTCTTTCATGGTTCGGCTTGATGGGCCGAATGGCCTCCTCTCGTTTGTAAATTTCTTATGTTCTTTTGATTAAGCCTATTTTTTACTGAAAGCAATTACATAAACAGAAAATAAGGTCTGGCACATGACTCAGGAAAAGTTCATATCACAAAGTAAAGGCATATACTGACCTTTACATAATTATCCAGAAATTATATGAGCTTCATTACTGCTTGTATTGTAGAACTGTGCAAAAGTCATAAGCAGTTAAAGAAAATGATCTTCCTGTTTAAAAGTACAATGTCAAAGCCTTTTCAAAACCTCTCCTAAAATCACCCCAGTATTTGCAGCAACCATCTAATACACCAAATATATTTATTGACTCAACTGCTACCCCACCATGTTTAGCTAATCAGTACTTCATTAAGTTATTTCATTAATTAATTGAGCTAATACCTGGAATGGAAGAGGTGCCCCTGAGGTTTGGGAACCAATGCGATGTTCATCTAGTTATCAAACAAGATATCAGTAACTTTTTGGAGATCGGGAGAAAAATTTGTTTTATTGTTACTGTTAATTTGCATATGTTCTAATGTTAAACTGTTTTTTGAGCAAATATGCACTTGCTTCCTAAATAAATAGCCTTGAATATTTCCTTTGACTGCCTAAGACTTTTGCACAGTACTGTTTTACCCACAGTGCTCCAAGGATAATGACCCTACAATTACCAAGCATCAACCATGTTTAGTTTTTATTCATTTTAAGTGGAACTAATTGACACTAATGAGCATCATTTGCTTAAGGTACGCCCTGGATGGGATGCCAGTCCGTTGCTGGGCCCAAATGCATGCCTTTGGACCGCAGGAGGTCATGCAAACTCCTCACACATACAGAGCAGTGGCTCTGTGAGGCAGCAGTCCCGCCCACTCAGCTAGCCAATCGTTTTTCAGCTAGAAATAATTATATTTATGATAAAAATCTAATAAACGTGTAACATTCTTATTCTCCGCTCACACCATACCCTGCATATGTTTACCCGGGGAAAAAAAAGACTGATGTGGTAAAAATAACCAAATTTTTCTGCAGCTTCAACAAAAAGACAAGATTTCAGTGACAAGTTGCCCTCAGCATTTATATATCTGATCAGATGTCTGAAGCAGAAATCCTTTACTGCAGGATGTCATCTTAACTCCCATGTCCTTCGTTTCCTTGATAAAAACCGGGATGTGCTGTATAGCCAAGTAACTGATCACATGCATTGAGGAAAGAGCCGATAGCTTGAATTACTGGATGAATGCTGGATGGGGCCTTTACAGCTACTTCCATTAAAAAAATGCATCTGTGTGTTTTGAAAATGGTTGATCAAAATTCACCAGTTTGGCGATTTGTTATCCAGGTACTGAAGATACTCTATGTGTGAGGCCCCATTCTGCTCTGCATGAAGCCAAATCCCAACTTTTGGAATATGGGAAGTGATGAAATTTTAAGTCAGACACCAATTCTAAAGTGTCACGCATGTAAAAACATGTAAAAAAAGTGTAGATAACTGAAGGAACCACATTTGTGTAGGAAAGGATATGTTTGCCCACGTAAAGAAAGCTTATGCTGCAATAAATGAAGTCTATCAGAACAGAGGATTTTTTTAATATAACGTATATTGCTCAGTTTATGTAACTAAACAAAACATTCAATGTAACACTTCACAAAATGTAGAAAACGGGTACACCTTCTGTAATCTACTATTAACATAGTCCACCCAGAGACGGTGTCCAATCAACAAAGCTTGTATTTAATGGTCGGCCCAAGTGTTTTAATTTTCAGATTTATGTTACGGGACTGCCAGAACAGATTTATAATATATATATTTTTAAAAAACAAAGAACTTCGTGTATTGTCATCAGAATCTGCAAGAAAACATTTACTCAAAGTGAAATCACAATGAGCCAATCATAATTGAAGGGGGTCTGTAAGTTGGTGTTCATTATCCATGACATGGGAAGGGACACGGAACGTAAATCTATATAAATCCGTTTCAAAACCAAGCACTTGATCTTGCCGCACTCTCTACTGAAGGTTGTGTATCATCTCCTCTTTGGCAATGAGGTGAGTGGTTTTGTTCACCAACGACATGAGCGAATTCAGTTTGTGTGACCAGTCGTTCAGAAGATCATTGGGGTCCTTTGGCCTCTGGAAATTGATGATACCGGCCAACCTGTCCACCTTGGCATAAATCGTCTTGTTCACCACCAAGTTGGAAAGAAACTCTTCAGACTCCTGCCAAATGAAAGAAGCGCGGCTGATTTTTACATTATGAAAAAAAAATATATAAAAACAGCTTTTGTACACTGTTCTGTTTGCCCCAGATAAACATGAGACCCTGCGAGACTCTGCTACGAGAAAGTGCCAAGAGAAAATCTCCAGCTAGGAAGGTACGCTAGGCTCAAGTGCCAACAAACATGGAAAAGTTCAAATTTACTTACATCGACAGAAAGATCGAGAAGTCCGGCCATCCTTTTCATTGTGATCCTTGTGTAATACTTTGCCATTATTCTTATGTTCTGGGGATGACAAAAATCAGAACAGTACAATGCTGTCAAAAAGAGGGCTGCAATTACCCACGGGCACCTACGGCAACCCACCAGGCATTCTACTGCAATCAAAACCGGTCTGACTCACATGTTCTACCACTCTGTTTTTTAGGTCTTTCCATCTCTTTTCGCCCTCCTCAGTACAGGCAAAAACATCTGTGGCAGGACTGTCTGGGGACCCCTCCCTCAATTCCTTCCCATAATCCTCCACCAGAGACGCCCAACGCATTAGCTCCATGGTGGTGAACTGCTTCAAAAGGTCCCTGTTGGAAATAAGGGGAGGCATTTTATGAGCCTAGACTAAACAGACCAGGGTGCACTCTCCTGTATTGGTGTATCACTGCTTGATATTATCTGACTTTAGCCTGAGTACTTTCAGGCTCATTCAATTAGTATTATCAGAGCATTTTTGAGTATAGCTTGAGGATATACTCATCAGGGGCTTGTGTCTGGTCTCTGCTCATGATCCCATACCTGTATTTGGGAATCTCTTCCAGCTTCTTGTCAGCACTGATTCGGTGTACCAGGTCAGACTGCTCGTTGTCATAAGGTGCCAAGATGGCATACATCACCACGCTCTTCAGGGCCTGCAGCACAACAGACAATGTTTACTCCACCACTGACAGTCCTTGGATTCATAATACGTGAAAATCCATAACTTAAGGTCAGACGAGTCTTAAATCTGGGGCTTTCGGGGCCAAAGCCCCGAATGTATCCTAGCGACCCCCCCGCCCCCACCCCGAATGATTTGTTTAGCTTTGTTTGAAAAACCACCCTCCCAGTTTGAGAACCAGATTAGGTCTCTGGGCTAAACCTGGGATGTCTTAAGATCCTAGCAACGCCCTGACTTAAGTGTGGGTGCGACTACATACTTAAGAAAGGAATATAATCACACTAAAAGTTAAAACAAATTTGTCTTTCTTTAAAACAGTGGGACCTGCAGACAGTCCATGTTTTTGCTCCCTCCCAGCTCCAGGTAATGTGGACTATCTGGGACTACCCCACGGACTGCCTTAACGGGATGTATGGAATTGCAGTTAAGGAAGCAAGCAACTGAAGGGAAAGAAACTGGCGTAGTGGCTCATAATGCCCCCCCCCCCTCCCTTATGGCTGATTACACTGCAGCGTCAAGCCTGCACAGAGCTTGTACTGTGCATGGTCTGCGTCACCATCACGCGTAATCACATTTCTGGGGAGGTGCGCGTCAGGCTACAGTGTAGAGTATGCGGCTATGCTCTACCTATGCTGTAACCACGGCACAGACACTACGCAGAACCGTAAATCAGCCTTTACATGCTGACAGATCTCACCCTCCATCTTTAATCTGTCCTCTAGCATGTGACTTCATGAGATCAGCCCCTTTGGTGTAGCTCTTTAGCCAGGAGGAATTCCAAGAATGCTAAGAGTTAAAATACTTCTGCAGTAAGAATTACGGTCTAGTGGAGCCAATGGGAAGAACACATTAAAGCAGAAGTGCCGTGGTCAAGCACATAGACTGGATACTGATCCGAATCCTGCTGGAGCGGCTTTGAGGAGGGAACTTACCCCGGGATGCTTCAGTAAAACGTCAAATTTAGTTTGGCACTTGGGATGTCAGCTAAATAAAATGTTTTGTGCGCACATAGGGTTGCAAAGGGCTGGAAAATTTCTGGAAATTTTCCTGAAACTTTCCATTCCATGGGAAGTTAAGCTGGGGAATTTTGGAAATATTCCACATTAGAAACTTTCCATGGGAATTAACGGGAAAGTATGGGAATTAACAAGAATATTCCTAGAATTTTGCAACCCTATGCGCACATATATAAAAGAAATTCATTACTTGTCCTAATTAAGCTGTATGAAACGGGTCAGAGGAGCTGGGTCTCACACCTTCAGCAGCCCTGTGTTACCTGCTGCCATTGGCTGCTGTCTTCCAAGATGCAGGGGGTGTCATAAATCGCACGGTAATGCTTGCATATGGAGAGGTAGGAGCCCTCGTGCTGATCCACCTGGATCATCAGATTGTAGTACTTCAGCTTGGATTCCTGCAACACAGAGAGCCTTGGTATCGAAATGCAGCCCCTAAGAAAGAGCCAGATCTCAGGAGCAAGTGCATGCAGACCCATCACTCGGAAAAGCATTAAACAAAAGTCATCATTAAAACCTAATTCGGTGGAGGGAAAGAAGCAGCCTGCCCAACTGTTTAAACAATTCCACAAATGCCTTTTATGCTATGAACTGAAAAGCAGTCATTAAGCACATCTCACTAGAATTTTAAATAGGGGGGGTATGAAGAACTATAATCACAATTATACCAATTGCTTCTTTTTGTAAGGATCTTATCTGACCTCTCTGACAAATGCAATAGTTTCGATAAGTATCATCCCAGCCTCAGTTTTTATCTTCCATTTCAATCTAATGGAAATCTTCTGACCATTGAGCTCCCAGGACTTCTTAAGCTCTCTTGGTCCACACTTTCTGGCATTAAAAAAAAAACCATCATGTAAGAGATCACATTTCTACAAAAGCCTGGGGAAGCCGGGTAATTTGATAGGGGCCATAAAAAAGCCAGCAAAAACTCTTAGCCGTATTACAGCACAGACGATTTGTTTCGTGCTCAGCTTGTCTTAAAGACTAAAGTGAGCATTTTACAAAGAGAATCTCTCTATATAAATTGGGGAGTATACTTAACAATGGTCTTCTGTTAAAATACAGTCCAATTGGCTTCTTTATTTTAGCATCTTTTGCAGAGCATAGCGTCCCAGTGTAGCTGCTAACTCATTCATTGATAAAGGTACTGGCCTAACCAGTTTTAAATGCCCATTAAAATCTGAGAGGTTTAATGTTTTAATGTGTATTTACATGTTTACCATGCAGATTTATTCCTGTAGCCTCTTAAAAGCCTTTGCTAGAAGTATACAGTACCGTGCAGTCTTAAGTGGCCAAAGAAAACGTTTAAATGATCTTTATGTTGGTGTAAAACTATATTATGCTTGTCAAAGTGTGTTAGCTTAGCCATTCCAAAACCTCTGCGAAAATCACCCCATTATTTTCAGCAACTATACAATACACCCATGTATTTTTTTGACTCGAGTAGCTAATCAATAACTCATTGATTTTTTTAAACTAAGTTAAGTGAGTTGGTGGTGAAATTTAATAAATACATGGAATGGCTGAGGTGCCCCTGAGGAGAGGTTTGGGAACTGAAGCGGTGTTCATCTAACCATCCAACTGGATGTCAGTATCATTTGAGAACAGAAGAAATTTTTACCAGTTTTTATTGTCACTCTTAATTTGCATATGTTCTAATGCTAAATTATGTCTTTTTTTTGTTCTGAGCAAACGTGCACTTTCTACCCAGATAAAGCTTTACATGTTTCTTTTGACTGCCTAAGACTTTTGCAGAGTACTGTATGTGCTCAATTCTATCTCTGCTCAACTGTGCCAAAGTTGTTTTACTGTTTAATGTTAAACCACCATTGTTTCAAGCAGAAATTGTAGCCTAAAAACCTGCCAATGCTGAAAGAATGTTACAGAGGCATCAAACAAGTCACAGAATGTCTTAATCGTCCCTGCATCTCAAAGTGATAGCTGCACAGGAATGAGATGGGGTACGAAGCAAGAACAAGGCTGAACCAGACTGGATGTGCCCTTCCATGACATTCAGGAGGCAAAGGGTGATGAGGGACACCAGGGCTTCCCTAGTTAAGCACAGTTAGTTGTTTTGGCACCAATTTTATGGGGTAGTGTCAGATACAAGATGAGGGAAAAAAACAGTGTAGATCTAATGAATCAGAGAAAGGTTTTAGCTGAATGGAACTGAACGTCAGAGAAGAGCAGTTTTAAATGTCTCTGATGGTTCCTGCTGGGATGGGCTAAACCATTCGTGCTTTGGTCACATGATTTGTCATGGGAGATCTCCACAGCAGAGAAAACATCCCCCCATGGTAACGCACTGGTCAATGCTAGGGACCTTAGTACAAGTCTCCACTTAAGACAATCTTAAAAACATGAGGAACACGAAGAGTATGGCTAAGTTTACTTTGTTGTGCTCTACTCCAACAAAAGGATACTGCAAAAGGTTAGCAATCAACATGGAAACTTAAGGACAAAAAGGTGATCAGAACATTTCCATATGTGATTTAAGCAGTGGCCATGGTGTTCATCCTTTAACAACATTATTTGAATAATCACGCCTGTTAAACATCCAGCAGCATAACAGTAATAAAATCAGGAACTCAGGATTAAAGATGCAGCGAAGCAACAAAATAATAATTAAGTCACTTGCTAACTCAGAGGTACAAACCAAAAAATATGCATCATACATAATTGCAAAACATAGTGCACACGTCAAATAAAACGACAATTTATTTATTCATGTAAAAGACATTTGACAAGTTCAACGTGCTTGCAAATCCTCCCAGGAGACAGAATAAACCACGTTTGTCATCTTTCATTCTGTTCTCTGATCACAATGACAGCAGAGCCTCACCTGAGTTCCCTCTTCTTGGAAAAACTTGGTGTTGATCTTCTTGCTGATGATCTGAGTACGAATGTAGTCCTTCACGGCAATGCAAAGCCTCATCTGTTCCAGAATGAACTCCACCTTTTCTTTCTTCTCCATTGAGCCATAGGTTTCAACCTGTCACCATTGCAGTGCATAAAGAAACAAGTCACATAATAAAAACATCATTCGGAAAGCAGAACCGCATATACACAGCTAGGTCAGGCTTAAGAATAAGGGACCGTACTTTTGATATGGTACTTTTGCTATTCCATTGAATTCCGTTTGAGCACCAACCAGTACCAAAAGTACCAAAAGCTGGGGTACTCTTTTGGTACTTTGGGGTGGGACTTGCAAACATTAACATTGTCGACTGGTTATATAAATAGCCTGCCTCTGAAACACAATACAAATGCTGCTTTGGAAAAACGTTACAAACTCAGACATCTACGATGAAGTAAAAAAAAAACTAAATGAACAATATTGTATGCATGGACAAATAAAGAGAACAGCGATCTGTTCAGATGAACCAGAAGGTCTGGAAGTCATAAAGTATTTACTATAATATACTATGGCTGCACGATATATATATATATATATATGTGTGTGTAAAAAATAAAACATTGCAATGTCATTTTGTTGTAATAAACAATGGGATATTTATAAAGCAAAAATTAGTTCAAAATAAATACATTTCTAACATACTCATCTATGAGTGATTTAAAATGATTGGAAAGCACATGCAGAGTTCATACAAAAGCAGTGGCAGCAAATAAACTGATTAAGATTTATGTTAAGATTGCAGTGTTTGTCCAGTTACGTGTATGACAGAGTAACAATGTTTTAGCGAGACTTAAACTCCCTGCACTATAATGCCTGTACAGAACTGAAGGTAAGAAAAAGCCTGATCTTAATCTTGCTGACTAGCGATGTAAGAATTGCACGTGCATAACATGCAATGTTGGCCTTAATATCGCACATCATCCAGCCTGACATGATTCTATAGCCATTTTTCAATTTTTACAAAATACCCCGCCTCAAGTTGTGATGTCATTCAGCTCTGATACCAGTCTTTACACCAGTGGAAAACCAACAATTTGAAGTACCAGACCTTTGGTACTATCCAGAAGTATCAAAAGTACAGCACCTGATGCAGTGGAAAAGCACATACATACAGGGAAACATACATGACACACCTTTGAGCAGCGATTCACAGGCTGAAATTATGAATTCAAGGACTTTGCTGAATGAATATATAGGCAAGCAAGTACAATCAGTGCAGCTGAACTTCATATTGAAAACTACTGTTTTGTGTACTAATGTCCCATATCAGGAAATCTGTACAGAAAAAAACACTGACACACTATCCAAGTTCTCAACAGAATATACCCTTCCATGTTAATCGGCCAGACATATCAGCACCAGCCTGTCAGTAGGTTTTGGAGGAAATCTTTTTTTTTTTTTTTTTTTTAAATCACTGCTCCACTGCACTGTTCATTCCACCACTGAGCGCTATGGTGCTGGTAGCCCAGCCACAAGGAAGCTGCAAGCATCCGTGTGAGATGCTAATTTGCTCAAGGTGCACAGATTCTTCTCAGCACATTGGACTATCGCTGCCCTCGGTGATGGGAAAAATCATGGTGGAGTTAAAGCGAAAAAGGGCAGAGGTCCTACCTGCAACTCCTGCAGGATTGAAGCGGCTTCCTTCACCTCCCCATTCTGCTCCTTAATGTTGGCCAGTGTCCTGGTCAACCTGGCACGCTCGATCTCCACATAGATCTGAAAGACAAACCAGACCCTGCACACACTGCAATCATCTACAGTAAACATACCTGAAGCACATCTATCTCGCACATGCAAAATATCTGTGCAAACCAGACCTTGCCTGCAGTGACTGTGCGCAGGGTATCAATGAGCCGCAGTTTGACGGTCAGGTCCGTCAGCTTATCTACATACGTGTAGCACTCCTGCACCATCTTGGCTACAGCCTGAAAAACAAATGGATTTAAAAAAATTTAATCTTGCAAGAAATTACAGTTCACTCTGGTAGTGAAAATAATACATGGCTTTCCTGTACAACAGCTTTATGACCTGTTTTAGCTGACTCCTCCTTTTTGATAGAAGTATGACGTTTTCGTTCAGTGCATCCCAGTCTTTCGCCTCATAACACATCTGGACGATGGCCACTAGTATCCTGGAGGTTGACACCATGTCTGAAGCCTGTTACAGAAGTAGCAGATCACATCTGTTATAAACATAAGATACCAGTAAAGCATGCAAGCTGTAGCAGTCATCAACTACAATGCCTGTGTATAGTGGTACTTAAAGAAATATATAGTATAGCATGTAACTGAAATCACAGATTATTAAAAGCTTACTGTTCTCGTTTGCTTTTCCAAAGACAACAAATTGTCAATGGCTTCTTGGAGTCTTCCAGCCTTGAAAAAAAGAATGTAAATATATCAACAGAGCACGCAGAATATCTGCTTTACATATTGGTGACTTACATCCATCATAATAATCTACTGTGACAAAGGCATAAAATAATGTATCGCAACTTGAAGGATAGACGTTCAGTACCAATAAATACATGCTACCACGATTTAAGGTGTACAATCAAATTACACTTCGCAACTATAATAATATGTCAACGTATTACAAATACTTGCATAATGTACTGCATAACAGGCATTGTTATAACAAAACATCGATAAATAATACTCACTGTTAATAATGATTAATTTTCTAATACGTACATTAATCGATCGCTATAACCAACATGGCGTGCTAGGCTACCCAACCAACAGCTCAAATCACAACATTGATCAATTAATTGCACAAAAGTATGCAAAAAACGTAGTATCTGAAGGTGGTTTTTCTCAATAAAGGTAAAAATTAGTACGTAATTTTTCATGTTTTACTGCGGTGTACCAGTTAAATTTAAAGCACTGTCACTAGCAAGCTACAGCAGTTGTGATGACATGCTAACGTAGTTAATTGCATACAAAACAACCAGCGAATCATAAAATATACTAGCATCATACAGGCACACTGACTTCAATCTATGTGCACTTTCTCAGTTACAAATTATCAGCGATTGAATGTATCATCGACAAGGCCTAAACTGAACAACATAAAGCATACAGCATGACTCAGCCCGCCGTATGCCATTCATCTGAACGCCACTCACTTTAGCCATTTTCTCGCATTCTGGAAGACGTCGGTCCACCGTGGAACTGTAGTCAATCTCCATTTTTACGATCTTCCCGTCCGATCGTTCTGATCTGTCTTCAGCCATTGTGCTGTTCCTCGCCGGTCGGCCTCAAAGCAAAAACTCAAGAAATTTTGCTAGCTAACTATCGCGAAGCCCCGACCGCTCACTTCGGGAGTCCCTTCTGTTCCGGTGGTACCGCGAGACTCACCGGAAGTCTCTGAACGTCCACCAATCAAAATGTTACGGTTCAGAGGCGCCGAGACGACAGGGGGAGCCAGAGAGCGCCCTGCGCGCAAGTAACTGCCGAATCATTGCGCAATGAGCCTCCGAGTTGTGCTGGAATATCGGCGCCTCGTAGTGGGGCCAGTCCGTGATATGAGGAGGCAGGGAAGCAGACTTGGGAGTTGTGTTTACTTGTTACAGCTATGGTTTTTGATTTAGGATATTTAAGATGTATGTAGGGAGCTTAATATCTAAACACCCAATTTACCTAAAATCTTTTGATTTTGTAATTAATTTATACTCAATTGGTTAATACCATTAAAATGAAACTATTTTGTGACGTATAATAAGAACATATATATAAATTTCACTTTATATTTCAAGTTTAGTATAAAAAAGTACAATATATAACGGGTTTTTAGATTTTTGTAATTATATTTTATATTTGCAATCCCTAAATTCATCCATTGCCTGCCAACATGAATTGACCATTTTGTAGGCTACTGTACATACTTTGTTCAAACCAAAAGTCGTGCATATTTGCACACACGAAACTAAAACGCTTGTATTTGGTTCCTTTTGAAAGATTCCTGTGCACAAGACATTAAGCTAACTTTTCGGGCTGATTACATAAACAGAAAGTAATTGGTGGAAATTGTATTCTAATTAAATATTTGCTGACTATCGTAAAATATATGCTCGTGCCGCCACGTTACATTCTTTGTACCTTTAAATTGTTGCATCATGCAGAAATATCAGGGATTGTTTGTTATTGAGTGAATTAATATAGGCACAGTTGATCGATACGTGGGCGTGCGTCATCCGCACAACGCCACTAAACCTACCCCAGAGATAAAGTGTTCACTGTAAGGCAGATGTTTTTATTTTGCATCGTGATGATGGAAGTCAGATGGATTGACAAAAGTGAACTACGGTCTGCTTACATGCGGTGCGCTTCCTGCCCCGTGTGGTTAGTGTAGATGTTTCCGTAGCTGCAGCGAAGTGTAACGTCGTAGCTCTTAGAGCTTATACTGCTCACATCCCCTGACTGAGAGCGCCGTGACCCGGGCGACTGCGCTTGCAATTTTGGCATCAAGAGGAAAACAAAGCCGATATTTCCTTAACGGAAAGAAACGCCATATAATCGGTGATGTAAATCACAGTGCAACGGGATTATTATTCACTCCGGGAAGAATACAGCAGTAAAGTGGACCGCAATTCCAGAGACAACGGCTGGTCACTAACAAAGATGAGCTACTGTTGTGCATTTTTTAGCAGAAAGCTGCATTCCTTGCAATCTGGAGTTGACAGCTGAAGAGTCGTAATTTTTATTACAGGAGAAGTCAACAGCTATTTCACAATCGCATTGTCTAAACCACTGAAACACTTTATTTTATTTTCGAATGGACATACCGTAGTAGTCGAATCGTTTTGATATTTTAATCGTACCTTTTTTTTGCCCGGTTGTGGTGCGGACAAAAAGACCAGCTTAGCGTTGCAGTTAAGCAGCCGATTACTATTGGAAATTATGCCCGAATTAAAATGAACAATATATCTTAAAAGGACACTGTATCGGTCTGGGTTAATGCTCTAAAGCTTTTTTCGTATATCAAATGCTGGAGTAGAATTAAATCATCCGTGATACGGTAACTTTTGTAAGAATATACATATCGAATATACTTTAAACAACGAGGACTGTTACAGTATCAGCGGAATATGTTGTTGAAAGAGTACAGAATATGTATGCCGCTAACGGTGGAAGAGGTAAGTTAATACCGTACTATACTCTTGTAAAAATGTATTACTCCACAATTCCAGTAATTTTTTCAGCATATTATTGGTTCTAACACAGGTAAATATGCGAAATCAAATTCTTCTTGATTAAATATCATGCATGTGTTTCCACGGTAAAAGGATGTGAAGGAAATGCAGTAAAAGTGCTACAAACTAATATTATTTGTATTACTTCTGCTTTCCTGTTTCCCTAAACAGATCAGATAAACTTATAGGTGATAAGAGCAACGCTAGCTTGGTAATTGTGAAATTTATGGTACTACTTATCACAACATATTGCTGTGACAACACAAATCCTTAAATGCGTTCCTTAGGACAGTTCGCATCATGCATTAAGTGATTCTACATGTTTAATTATAAACGGCCCTGTATATAATTAACCGAAATTAAATGAACGAATGAAACCCACATTAATAGCTGTAGTAACTATATCTGTATAGCAGTTTCGTAACTTTTAGTGCCATTATTGCTAGAGCGGCGGTGGACGATGCTAAGGGGGAAGACCTCTGGATGGCACTGTTGTTATTGTCTCAATAAGACAGCGTATCGACCTGTTTTATTCATTTTAAAAGTGCTTGAAATTTGATTTCCTTCAGTTGCTCGGAATTTTAAACAACTTCGGTTCATATTATTTTTATTGGCAACGCTGCTTAGGGCGGAGCTTCATTTTAAGTACCCTAACATTTATCACTGAGATACTATGTGTCTTGTGTTGATTAGTCTCTGTAAATATTCATAAAACTGTTTAGTCACACAGAGAATAGGCTTTTAGGGCATGTCTCAGTCTGAGAAAGCACTGATTATTATTTTGTGTGGTGAGCAGTGGCAAAAGCATCTACCGCTGAATTTGAGCTCATAATCTGGACTTTGTGTGACAGACCCATGTTTCTCCCTGTCTGTTTCATCCCAGGCATTACTGTATAACCTCTAGGTCACCACGTAGCATCATGATTGGTCTCTGACATTGCTTTAGTCACTGGATGTTAGATGTTTAGATCGGTGAGCCGTTGTGGATGCACCAGATGGCTTTCCATGCCAGTTTTCTTCATTTGATTAAGTCTGTGTCTCTGAGTAGATTTTTTTGCCATGATGAATGCATAGGTGATGCTTAGGGAAGATGTAGTGATGCCTTCAGTCAAGATTGGTTTTGATGTAGCTGCTGTGCAAACACAGGTTTTGATTTTCAGCCACATACTCAGGCAGAGAGTAATAGAGAGACACCTAGACCCATTTACATGGATGAGACTCGATGTCATATAATGCTGACTGACTGCTGTGTATGTTAATGTTTGTTTTTCAATAAATTCACTGCGTGCCAACAAGTTCTTTTTTTTAATAACATTCTCCTTATTTTTATGTTCCCAGCCACCATTTTATGGCTTTGATAACAGCTAGGAGCCCCAGCAGAACATCAGAAGTGTTTTTAGGCCACCAGATTGCATCCACTCCGTTTAGACAGTCCCCTTTCAGTCGCTCTTGTTGCCTGTCAGCCGATCACAGTTTTTAATTGTCGCTTCGTGACAACAGGATTTTGCATGAGAATACGGAGATGACGAGCTCTGAGTGATTTTTGAATGATGGAGCACCACAGACTTGTATACAGTGAACAGATTTTGTGTAGAGTTGTGAAGAGACAGACAGTTTGAACCTCTCTGGTTATTAAGATAATGTCCAAAGGGCATCTATATGATTTTGGGTGCGTATTGTCAGATTGGAGATGAGAGAGGTCTTTTCCATGGAAAAGAACAATCATTGCATTTTCATAACATCAGAATTACAATTGTTACCCATCATTTAGTATTAAATGTTTTGGAAAGAAAAATACTTTGGTACAATATATCAAGCATGGCATGTAGTACTTGGTTTATGGTTAAATTGTGATTAGTGGATTCTGCTGTTTTGGTTTTCCTAAACTGCATTAAATGTTCTCATTGGATTCTTCTGGGTGCTCCGGTCCCCCCCACAGTCCAAAAACACGCTGAGGCTAATCGGAGTCACCAAATTGCCCGTAGATGTGCTTGTGTGAGTGAATAGTGTGTGACTGAGCCCTGCGATGGGTTGGCGCCCCGTCCTGGGTTGTTCCCTGCCTTGCACCCTTAGCCTCTGGGATAGGCTCCGGACCCCCCGCGACCCTGAATTGGACAAGTGGTTTAAGAAATTGGATGGATGGATGCTTTCATTATGATGCATAAACAAACCCAGAAGGGTCATGTGCGTGATCCGCCTCTTTATCAAAAACGTGCACATTGAGCCAGTAGGGGTGTCGGTCACTGTTAGCGATAACAGAAATGAATGTTTCCTTGTAGAGTCAGAGGTCTGCCTGGGTGCAGAAGTTTGCTGGAGGTCTTCAGAGTCCATGCTCTGTGCTCCGACCAGCAGGCCTTCAACAGCTGTAGGAACGTTCCATCCTGCCCTTCTGCACAGCGGCTGCTCAGCCGAACGCTTGTATTACAAAGAACTGTGTTAGCGGTGCAGATGGAGATGATCCTCAGCACATTCATTTTAGCGTGTTTCAAGCCAGTCAAACTTCTCAGGAAATTGCCCCCATTTTATGCCTTTTTTGGTCAGTAGGCAAAATGAGGTCAAGTACCGTCATAATTCAGTTTAGATATGTGTGTTGGCTGTTCCTCTAAACTCCCAAAGCATTCACACCTTTTTAAAATCATGCATAATTATAAATATAAAAATTCTATATTTAGTACGCGAACCAACAAGCATGCAGAAAGTCCTTTGCTCTGTATTGCTCGTACTTGCTGACTCACAACCATGCTAAGCTGGCAAATTATCTATCCGCTGTCAGTAGGATCCATTTTCTGGACGGGCCAGAAACAGCACATTAGCTTCTCAGACTTATGGGCCTGCTCGTCTGACAGTGTCGGCTGTTTGTGGCCTTGGACTCCATCCCCTCGAGCAGGGGAGCCTTGCATTTTTGCTGTTTGGGTAACTAATAGGAGTCACTGATTCGCATCGGTGCACCAGCATAAAATTTCATGATGCGATTTAAAAAGTGCACAGCATACAATTTGGCATGAACTGCATTGTTTCTAACATCTTTGCATTAGTAAAATCTAACTTATTAATATGTAATTATTAGTATAAGCCCTATGCCTTTATTATTTAGGAATCTGACCAATCATTTTTGACCAGTTGTTTTGCATTTAGATTGATGCCTCCTCTTTAGACTCTTTCCCAGGCTCGCTCTCTCATCTCCCGTTCCTCACTGCTGTCAGTGGGCAATTTTTGTCAAGTCTCTCGGCCAATTCTCGTGCAAGTTGGAGGTCTGTCCGACGATATGTCACATTGTATCGCGTTGAATCGCATTGTGTTGAATCATATCGTGTCAAATCACACTGCCTCGCAATAGGGGTGAATCATATCGTATCGCGTTAGTAATTGCTTCATATGTGTCTTTAATGCATCGAATCGTTGGGTATGCACTGAGATGTGTCACATCAGCCTCAGTGACGGAGATGCGTATCCCTAGTAACTAAGCTGCCAGGTTGTAATATTCACTATAAAAAGGCAGTTAATTCCTTTGCTGCGATGTCACCTTGGTCTGCCACCAAGAGGGCACCTTCCTGTTGACCATACAGATGACATGTGCAACTCTCTAAGTAGGGGAGGGGTGTCCCATTGGATTAGTAGCCCGTGTACAAAAACATGACCAAATTAGCGAACTATTTATGTACCTTTCACATTTTATTGTGTACTCCTGCATCCATAGCAAAATGACAATCAGTGCGGGGGCAGAAAAGGACAAACGGAGATGTAGAAATTCTGGGCCCAGGATTTATTATTGTGGCTTCTGTTCAAGGTCTTCTAGTTCAGAAGATCTAGGCCTTCTGATGGAGCGTTGTGTCAAACTACACATTAACAGGGCTGACAGCCTGGGTAACAGATCCCAGAATATCTCAGAGTAGTTTTGAATATGAGGTCCATCAGCAGCATGCTGAGACAGTATTTGATGGTCACATGCTGTTTCATGAAACTTGAGGAAAGTAGTTTAAAGTCCACGGGCCACATACGTTTGCATAACTGGGCAATCTACTGGGTTTGTTGCCAGTGCGAGAACTGGAGCTGTGCATCATATAAATGTTTCCCTCCAGATTTTTTTTTTGGAACATCCAGATTACATTAAATATTTTCCAGATAAATGTATCTCGGTTGATGCTGGTTTCTTGCACATGAAGCTTACTGCTCTGTTGGTCTAGTCCAGTGCTTGATATTCCTTTTTTGGCTGTTTTGTTTGTTTATAAGTGTATGAAACCTGTATTGTTGAAGACAGCCCCCACTTCAAGCTTTCCTTGCCTCCTTTTGGTTGCCTTAGCAGTTTTCTGTCAGTGCCAACAGATCCCACACATTCTACATATGAGCTGCATTTTCACATCCCTGAAGGATTTAAAATTTCCTCAGCTAACTAATTATAATGATGGTGCTGGACAGCTGCCAGCGTAGCCTGAATGACAAAACACAACTTCTCTGTTTCCTGTACTGGGTTGTTAATGGGAATATTAGTATGGAAATATATTCATGCAGTATAAGCCCAGTAAATCAAGTCAACAAATTTAAGATATTATTTGTAAGCATTTCCTAAAGTTGAATGGATGATAATTCTACAACATGATGATGAGACTACCCGAATGTGGAAGTACAAAGGTTATTTCCAAAATCGTTGTCCAGAAATTGTAGTCGAAAAATTAAAAGCGGGCAAGTGCATCATGAAAAAAAAAAAATTAATCCAAAGGATAATGCGAGAAACCGCAGTGAAAACACAGGCAGTAATTCGTAGCTCCGGCAAGAGAAACATGCTGAAGAATGACCAAATACAAAAAGCAAGAAAACTCAAAGATTAGGTGAAAGTCACGCACAGACCTGTGGTAGCAGGGAGAGTGAAAGGAAGGAGAAAACAAGGGAAAAGCAGTGCAATACAGTAAGACAAAAGCACACAGCACCTCACAATAAGGCGCTCA